TCAACCGTCAAAACCCGCAATATTTTTACCGTCAACTGTCAAATGAGGGGAAAAATAATCCTTCGAGTTTGGATTCGAGTTGGAGTTCGAGTTCGAGTTCGAGTTGGACTTCGAGTTGGACTTCGAGTTTTCATATTTTAAAAAATATCATAATTTTAAGAAATATTTAAATTCTTATTTTCCCAAAATATCTAAAATCAAAACTACCAAAAATTATAACTGTGTAAAATCACATTCAACTTTGTTAGTTGCTAATTACAACAACTACATAAGCCAACAGTAACAATAATGGAGTTGGTCTCAGTAGGTCGATAATTCGTAATAATTCTAACATATGGGTTTACATATATATCTTTTTTCAGGAGAGGCAACGGTCTCTGAATAAATATACAGGTCTCGCAACATTTCAGTCAAATTTCACGGTCTTGCAGTCCAGTTTTTGAGCGATCTCGAATTTTTTGCAAAGCCGAGGTCTGGCACCTCAAAACGTCTCGGTCACGCAGACATGACGCTGGTCTCGCCGTCTCGCAAAGTCTCGCATTTACCATTCGCCACCTAGCCCGCGTTTAACTTTTTTGTAAACATAGAGGTGGTATCAGAAAATCGCTCTGCTCCGAAAAAGCGGTCATTAGATAAATATAATGAAAAGATAACTGACAAAAGATCATTGCCCGCGGGTTCTTTCTCTGGCGAGGAAGAAATCTCAATCGGCTCCGAACGCGTGGACGGAGTTGGCGGGTTGGTGGGTCCAACGTCTGATTCCTCACTAAAAAGAAAACAATTCAGTCAAAAATTAAAAGACAGCTAAGTTCTTTAACAAAATTGGTAAACTTACCTTGTACTGTCGTCCATAGCATCTGTTCAGCACGCGGTGAGGACGGTCTAGGAACGGTGTCATAATCATTTAACTTATTAACTTTATTGATTTGGATTCTTAAAATTTCCTAACTCGAAGTTTTACTCGAGGTCCAACTCGAAGTCCAACTCGAACTCGAACTCGAACTCGAATCCAAACTCGATGGTTCGGGATTGCCTCAAATAAGCAAGCCACCGTTAATAATAATAATAATTTCTATTTATATAGCGCTCATATCTTGAGCTCATGGCGCTCTACAACACTGGGCGGGGAACTTTACCAGACTGCTAAGCAGTTTACAATCCATTAAAGGTAAATCTAACAATGCCCCCTCCCCTCCCGTTCCCGTGTATATCTTGTTTTTAACAAAGCGTCCAGGCCACAATCGTTCCTCAATACAATTTCAAGCCTTCATTCTTCTCACTGCGAGCCGTCAGTATTTATATTGATATATATCGCTAAAGTGAGTAACTTGCAAAATTTTTATAGGGGAAAGCGAAGCGTTGCTTTCGTGACTGGCCAATTGCTCACTTTTCTTATAGGTTTGGCTCTCATCTCTTCGGTGACTACGCAAACATTACTTTGTGAAAATCATATCAAGTCGAAAGAAAAGTTTTGGTTCTAAATCCTCATTTTTGTCAACAAAATGAAAATAAACACATCGGTTTAAAAGGTGAAGAGTTCGTACCACATACAAAAGCTGTCTTTTTGTTTCAATATTGACATCTCGCGCGCGAAATGACAAGACTATACGAAGGCCTGAAATTCTATTTGAGAGCGATTGTGGTCGCTTTTTTAAAAACTGAATCCAGTGGCCACTTTGTTAAATACAAACTATGCGAGGAAACGGGCAAGGATTATTCCGAGATAGTGCAAATGATCATGAAAGTGATTGCTAAAAGGCGACTGCGTGACACTCGGTAAGGTTATCGTGTATCAGATGAAAAAAACAGTTTTCAAAATTTCCAGTCTACATTCTGTACCTAATTTGCAGTCTGCAGACTGCATTTTGTAAATGTAAATAGTGATGTAAATGTAAATAGGCGCCAAGATGGCTGCCACGATTTCTGTCGCTCAGAGATTTTTAGCGTTCGTATCGCTGTTTATTGTTGTTTGCAGTCCTTTGTACGTCCCACCACTCTCTAATCGCAGCATCTCGCCATTCTGGTCTCTAGTAAGAACTGACCTCAATTTCCCATCGCCATTTGGATGTTTTAATCAATCTTCTAAAGGAATACCACGTCGACCCGTTTCTTCTTGGCACAAACGCGGCTATGTATGCATTAATCTACGAAGGATAGATTTAAAAACCCTGGTCCTCGTCGATTTTTGATAATAACCAGGTATTGCATCTCAACGCATCCACGGTTGCCCATCGCTCATCTCAGAGTTTGCCTGTATCTCCTTCGACTGCGCACCTTGGTCTTCATTTTGTTCGTTATGGTAATATGCCTCGATGTCTTACTTACTTCAGGAACGATTTGCTCAAAATTCGCTCCAGAGGTGGCGATTTACGGCAAGTTCCACAGCCAACTACGGAACACTTATCGCCAGGCATATTTTTGAGTTAAAATCTATGCCTTTTTAGTCAAGCAAACAGTAATTAAAATCATTTAAAGTCAAAACATTTCTCTATCAACCATACTCGAACAACGCTGCATTGTATTGTGATGCACGGTAGTCGTGACGTCACGCACCAAAAAGTTGAACAATAACCTACCCCTTTGAAGTTCGCCGACCTTCCTAACCAGTCCCCTCGATTAACTATGGTTGAAGCCAGGTTTCTGTTATGGCCAAAATATCAACCTAAAACCAAGCTCTGAATTACTGGCTCGACTAAAAAATGCTTCCTTACTCAGATATCGTGGAAAACGGTCTGGTAAGAAGAGGAATAAATGTCTTAATTCTTCGATTACCGTGTTAATCGGTCGTCGTTGCGTAACACCTTTACGTCCTCCTAGACCGCGGATTCAAACTTTGATCCCTGTTTCATTATCTGAGGATATTGAAACTCCAATTAAATTGCGAGCTCAACGTTCTGTGGCTTTTTCACTTCTCAATGCACGATGTTAAGAACAAGCGCATTTTGATCAAAGATTGGGTTGTTGACTAAAGATTGGGTTGTCGACTGTTTGCTTGACTAAAAAGGCATAGATTTTAACTCAAAAATATGCCTGGCGATAAGTGTTCCGTAGTTGGCTGTGGAACTTGCCGTAAAACCAAGGGAATTGGAATATGGAAGCTTCCAGCACCTCGGAACGAAGCCTATCGCAAATGGCGCAAAGATTGGCTCCATGAGCTCAAGAAATACGGAATTACAGATAGTAATTTCCAACGACAGATNAAGAATTTTGTCAATCGAGGTCGCTGTGGTTACTGACAACGATCTCGAGGAACGGAAGGTCGAAAATGAGTGATCCTTAAACTTATGCTCACCCGCCTGGCACATTTACAAAGGATCAGAAGGATCATCGTAATCAAAATTATCCCTCTTCCTACACAGTGGCACAAAAATAAACATTTATCTTAGAAAATACAGTCTGCCGATAACATGTCAAGTCATGTTCATCGTCTTCATCTTTATTTGCTCATCTTTCAAACCGGCATTCTAAATCCCACAGGTATCATTCCACTAATTTATTCGTGTTTTTCTCGTTGCCATGTTCCCACCAATCACGTAGCTCCTTTATCTGCCTTTAAAAGCACACACAACCCACAATTCCGCTATTTGCTCCGACGAAGGGCTAACGCTCGAAACGTCAGTTTTTATCATCGTAACGGTGGCCAATTTACCATTTCAACGTTGTTGATATATTCGATTTATTTGCCTAAGGCGAGAAGACCCAAGAAGCCACCGGGCTTATAAGAGAGCCACCGGGCTTATGAGAGAGCCACCGGGCTTATAAGAGAGCCACCGGGCTTATAAGAGAGCCACCGGGCTTATAAGAGAGCCACCGGGCTTATAAGAGAGCCACCGGGCTTATAAGAGAGCCACCGGGCTTATAAGAGAGCCACTGGGCTTATAAGAGAGCCACCGGGCTTATGAGAGAGCCACCTCGGCTTACAATTATAAACCAAGTAAAGAAAAGTGCTTCGAATGTGCGGCTTGGCCACTCCAGTGATTTTTGAAGTAAAACTCTTGCATTTTCGACTTAAAGCTAAGAAGGTTTGACGAACGAGTGACTGAAATAGGGAGAGAGTTCCAAATTTTAGGACCTTGGTAGAGAATTATAAATTGCTCGAGATTTGTGCGGCGAAAATGCGTTCGATAATTACTAGCTGTTCTGGTACCATAGTTGTGAATTTGGCTATTCCTTACTAAAAGATCGAGAAGCAATTGGGGCAATAAGTTATTTTATAATAAAACATACATTTGGCGATTTCAAACGTGTTGACTTGAAAAATATCTAAAAATTCCTAGTTTTGAGAATAAAGGAGCGGAATGGGCTCGATAGTCTGAGTTGGTGATAGCCCGCACAGCTCGCTTTTGCAAATAATAAATACTGTTTAAGTTAGATACGTATGTGGACGACCAGGCGCAGTTACAATAGACGATATAAAGATAAATTAAGGTGTAGTACATAGTGAGTTTGGTCGTAGAGGATAGGGAAAAGTGGGACCTAAACATAATACCTATTGATTTAGCGATTTGTTTTCATACATAGCTGATATGGTATTTCCAGGTGAGATGATCATCAACATAGACCCCAAGGAATTTAGTTATATTAGGTTGTTGTAGGG